GAAGCCTAGGTGCTACATGTGAAATCACGGAGACCTCAACCATGGTTGTTCGAAGGGATGAACCTGTAGCTCTGGCTTTTCGACATGGCCAAAGTTTTTCCTCTCGCTCCAACTCATCTAATCGAAAACCTTTGCATTGCTCTTACTGTGATCGAGACCATCATGTGCGAGACACATGTTGGAAATTGAATGGGTATCCCCCAGGACACCCAAAACATGCATCAAACAGGTCCAATCAAGGAGGCACTCATTCTAAACACAATAACAATCATCAATCTTTGGTCAACAATGTCAAGGAGGGTCACAAGATACCAGAAATACAGTCGGTGACCAATGGCTTATCTGATTTGCAAATCAAGCAAATATTATCTATTGTGCACAGTCAAAACACATCTCAATCCACCAATCTTAAGGCTAATGCTGCCAGTGCTTCTTCAGGTTTGTCACAAGTGTTGTTGAACCTCCAACGATTAATTATCAATAGTGGTGCCACAGACCATATTACTTCTACTCCAGCTCTACTTGTCAACAGTAAAGAGAACACTCTTTTGCCACCCGTTGTCATGCCAAGTGGAGAACATGCTCCAATCATATCTACTGGTACTTTACCCTTGAATTCATTTATTTCTTCAAAAAATGTGCTTGGTGTTCCATCTTTTAAGGTGTATTTAATGTCTGCGAGTAAAATTGCAAGAGACCTCAATTGTTCCTAAATTTTTTCCCTCATTGGTGTGTTTTGCAGGACTTAATGATGAGGAAGACGATTAGTTTGGGTGAACAACGAGACGAACTTTATTACTTGGTTGCGTTAGCATCGGAGCAGCCACACCATAACAATCAATCCACAGCCGCCATTACTAGCCGTTCATCCTGCTCTCAAGGCAACACCTCTACTGATTTGTGGCATCGCCGATTGGGGCATTTATCTTCCTCTAGATTAGATTTTATGGCAAAAAATTTGTTACATTTTCCTTTCAAGTCTAATAATGCTTGTGATATTTGTGCACTTGCCAAACAGAGTCGGCTTCCTTTTTTTCCTAGTTCAATTTCCTCTGTGAGACCTTTTGAATTAATTCATTGTGACATTTGGGGCCCTTACAGAATTGCTTCTCTTTCTGGTGCTAAATATTTTTTAACTATTGTGGATGACTATTCTAGATTCACATGGGTTTTTTTTATGCAGCACAAAAATGAAACCCAGCCTTTACTTACCAATTTTTTTACTTGGGTCCACACCCAATTCGATGCCTCTATCGCTACCATTCGGGTTGATAATGGTGGGGAATTCTTTTCTATGCACGAATTTTATAAACAACAAGGCACCATTTATCAAACCTCTTGTACATCTACCCCTCAACAAAACGGGGTGGTCGAGCGTAAACATCGCCATATCCTTGCGTCCGCTCGCGCCCTTCGTTTTCAAGCCCATCTCCCTTTATCTTTTTGGGCCAACTGTGTTTCCACTGCTGTCCATATAATTAATCGTTTGCCCACACCACTCCTTTCTCGCCAAACTCCTTTTGAACGGCTTTATGGCAAGATTCCTTCTTATTCTCATATTCGGGTTTTTGGGTGTCTTGCATATGCTACTGAAGTGCATGTTTCTCATAAATTCGCTCCCCGTGCCAAACGTTGTATTTTTCTTGGTTATCCAATTGGTCAAAAAGCTTACAAACTCTATGACCTTGCCACTCATCAGGTGTTCCAATGTTATGCAGCCACCATACCCGCTGCAAGATACGCCAATGCCAGCAATTAATACCCAGAAGGGACGAAGGAAAGCAATCCCCGAAGCCCCTCAGCACACCAGGAGTGGAAGGCACTCTCACCGACCTTCCAGGGAAGTCGGACGAGAGGAGCCGAGGCAAGGAGAGTCCCGAAGGACACACCACATGAAGGAACCAGGGCCCAAAGAACATCGGCAAATTCAAGGGCAAGCACTCTGCTTTGACACAACCCATGGAGAAAGATCGAAGCGAGCCCACCACGAAGCCGAAAGTAGTGTACCAAAAAGATTAAAGTCCAGAGATAGCCGAGCTCCAGGTAGGAGTAAAGGAGACTTGAGGGATTACCTCAAAAGGAGGCAGCAGAATGTTGAAGCCGAGGTGACTTCCCCAGTTAAGCCGAGAACACCATTCTTGGTGGAACTAGACAAATTTGAAGCGCCAAAGAGATTCAGTATGCCGAGGTTCCAAATTTATGATGGTAAGTTACGATTCATACTTTCACTTCGGTTGTGTAGTTGACTATGCCAGCCCAAAAAACGTCTTTAACATAGACAGTACCCATCGATTCCGCTCATCATATAGTACCCCAACCACTCATTATCATAAAGATTGAATGTTGCAAGCATCTCTTCCCATTTACTCTCAAATTCAGCTCTTGTCAAACAGTCATAAACAGCATTTTGCATAAGCCAAACTTTATAGCATTTCATACTGAGTATACCTTTCAACTTCTCCGGAATTTCTCATGATATGCCATAGACCACGATGTCGAGCTTGCGAAAACAAATTTTTATAGCTATATTTGCATAGCTCTACACTGATCAGTTTAATGTAGCTTTTGGCGGATATTTGACATTGCAACTTAACCATGACTTGAATAGCCAAACAAATGTGTTTAGTGTCTTCACTAAGACAACAATCCAACAACCAAGCCAAAATGGACTGTCCCATTGGTGATTAATCGACAAATGGAGCAAATGGCATGCATATTTGTTCGTCAAATACTTGTGTCAAATGAAAAGACATCTCCAAATGCTTCATAAGTCCCCGAACTCCTAGCATCAGCCCAAACAAGTTTCTAATGCCGAAACTTCCTCATCAACATTCATCACATAAAAGAACTCTGCCACCTATGTGCTTGCATCCTCATTAAAATAACTTGAAAGTGATTCGGCATCACCTTCCCAAGCCTCAACCTTCTAGCTCTGCTCAATGTAATTTCTTGCATCTCGCTGTTCAAAATGTCAATGACTCGTTATCCCCCCGCTCAACAACCATTGAATGAAAGTGCTCCTAGACACCCAACCCTGCTTCATCATTATTTCTTAATTCTCTTCACAGGAGTAAAGAATTTTCTTATTTCATTGCAAAATACGTGAGTCGGTGGGAATAATTCATGATTATGCTCAAGGTTAACTGTGGTTAGTTAACTCCCATCCTTTTGTACCACTACCTGCGTTACCCTTGCTGTTGCAACCAATCTTTGTGGACAAACATGGCTTCAGAGGTGTTGACTCTGATTTCTTTTTTTCTTTCCCTGCCCCGCTCGGAACATTCAATGCAAAGTTAGCGAAATTGCCATCATCATCCAAAATTGTTGTGCCTATGAGCTATAGAAATCCAACATGCTTAGCATATTTGCCATAAAAATGTGTACACCTCTTCCCTGAGCTAAAACACATACCCTTTTTAGGTTCTCAACATTTCCCTCTGTGTTAAAGGATTCTCACCAACATTGTGAATCAACCTCCATTCTCCACTTTACGTACTGAAATAAAATTAAACAAATGACAGCTATTAGAAACAATTAACTTACAGCACAGAGAAAACAAAGTGGCCATATTTTGAAGATTCCACTCTCCTAGAATTTCACACTCTGATCATGTCAAAGTGATTCCAGCTCTTGTTCTTGAGAATCAAGGCACTTGTCATGCTCTAACTACATTTATTTCATTTATTTTTTCATAAAAACACTGGAAAAGGTTTTCAGTATGATTCCTGCTAAGCATTAGTATACATATTGGTAAATGCTTTTAGTACCTCGAATATCTGTTTTGGTTTTTCATATTAATTTTATTTTATTTTTAAATTAGAAACAAAAACTTATTTGATTATTTGATTTTTTGTTTCCATAAAAGTGAATTGATATAAAAAAAAAATGTTTTTTTATTTCCCAAAACAAATTATTCACTCTCTAGTCCTACACCATTAGGCGATTGCTCTGGCCCACTCCCACTTCCAGTCACCACATTTTGACCACCCTCTACTAGCAATCAGTAACCTCTAGCAATTCACTGAGCATTTTTTTGTTTTTTTTTTTTTTCAAAATATTTGTGTTTTACACTCAAGTGTTTTTTTTTCTTTTTTTTTTAAATAAAATTTATTTTCTATTTTATGCAAACCAAAAAAAAAAAAAAAAAAAATGCAATGTTATCAAACTACCTCAAACCAAAGAAACTGTGCAATTCAAGCAGTGGCTACAACTCTAGCAATCAACGTATCTTACCCTAGAGGGCCAAAAAAACAACACTGTTTTCCTTTACACCCAACACTTGGTTTCCCCTGTTTGTTTCAACTGAAAGTACTTCCTGAAAATTGTGGCAAAATAAGAGGCAAACGCAAAACTATAAGGGAAATTATCTATTCTTCCCATGAAATCAGGCATTTACAATTACCACATTTGAAGTCTAAAGGGCGCCAATCCTAAAATGGCTCTAAACAAGTTACTCTAACGTTCATCATTCCAGGCATGTAAGTGCTGGGAATTGGAGTTTAGATAAATGGTGCTTTGAAAATCGTCTTTAGTACGAAGATTGAGGAGGAAACTAAACCCATTTTTCTGAGGAGGAAATCCTTAAACCCATTTCCTGAGAGGAACCGTTAAATGTATAGTTCTGTTGCCCTTGTAAGATTCCTCTCAATTTCCTCTCAATCTTTTGTTTGATGAAGGAGGGGAAACCTTAAACCCATTTAGGAACCTTAAAACCCATTCAAGTTTTGAAAAACTCAAGTTGATGAGAGGTACAAAGATTGAGGATAGATGGAGAGCGAGCTTATTGGGGAGATTTATTTACCAGAAATTGATGAGAGAGACGAAAGGATTTTGGGCAGGAAAAAAAAAATTTTTTTCCCAGTTGAAAATTTTTTTTTTTCCCTTCTTCCCCCTTTTTTTGTGTGGTTTTTTTTTGTTT